TCAAGGGGGAGTTTTGTACGACTGTACTCTTTTTTCCTCGTCATGGTTTTTATCCCACAGGATTTTTCTATGATAAGGTTTTTAATGAGGCAGTCTAAATTATAAATATCTTATGTATAATTATTAGAGGTCCAAGGGGGAGTATTATAAATATGTGGACCTTCTAATTGTCCAATAAGATTAACTCCTTAATGATGAAGGAGTTACCTCTCCTTTCCTATAAATATGTAGTACACCTCCTTGTTAATGTTACACACAAAAACCTCATAAGGTTTACTCTCACTTCATCACTTCTCTCTCCATTCTCTCTCTCTTGTTATTATTATTGCTTTTACTATCATAATATTCATTTTATTTTCAACAAGTTCATATTTTTTGGTGGCAACAAGCGCCTGTGGCCTAATGGATAAGGCGTCTGACTTCTAATCAGACGATTGTCCCCAGGCGTGTATACATTTATATTATATATTATATATATATTATGTCACAATTTTGAAATTAGTGGATATAAAAATTACAGACATTCAAACCAAACTAATTTTCACCTTAATTTAGGTTTTTTTTTAAAAAATTCAGACATTTTATCTTAACGTTTTTTTGGTCATGTATTTCACCAGGCGTGTATTCATTTATATATATATATATATATATATTTTACAAATATATTATATCACAATTTTGAAATTAGTGGATCTAAAAATTACAGAAATTCAAACAAAACTAATTTTCATCTTAATTTGAGTTTCCTTAAAAAAATTCAGAAATTTTATCTTACCGTTTTTTTTGGGCATGTATTTCACATAATCCTGTATTTTGTGCCGATTATGTAAATAAAAGAAAATATAATAACTATTTTTGTTTAAAGCAGGAGGCGAACTCCATTGGAAAGCTACGGGTGGTTCTTGGCAGATTGGTGCGTGATGTGGTTCTATCAAGGGGACATTCTACGACTTCCACAAGCTCAACACGGACTTGTGGCTGACTATTACATCTTCGATCCGGACTCACCCGAGATCTTTGATGGAATCCTATACTTATTGGTTGGTTACGTCTATTTGTCGGGTTGTAAAAAACTATTGAAGCATCAATACATTTATCGTTATTAAAAAAATATATATAATAAATTTCCAAAGCGCATTTAACGGAGGGTTTCCATTCCCTTTGAACAACTTTGTTAAATGGCGACACACAACCTTCTCTCAATCTCAATCTCCCCCTCCACCCACCGGAGACCTTTCCATCTCGTCGCCCGATCCCACCGGAGAATTCGCCGAAAACCTCCGGATAACGCCATGTCCGCCGCAGTTTCCTTGTCGGAGCTCCCTCTCCGGCGGGACCCAGACGATAGTCCGCTTTTAGATTCTAGAATTAGTAAGTGTACTCATCAATTTGTGAAGAAAAAACTTATTTTTGTGAGTAAAAATCGATGCTTTAGTTAGTATATCTGAATCATGTGACTAAAAGTTTCCATCTTTATTGTCAAAGAGGGCAAACGTATGTTATGGTTCATGGATAGTGCGGAGAGATGAGAGCTGCGTTGTTCTTTAGCTTGATTTGAAACTCGTGTTGTACTAGGATGATCATATGCTTTGAATGTCTGGTTCTTGTTGCATTGAATTTTGTCCCCTTTTAGATTTGTGACTTGAGGATTTCCCTAATTCCTATTGATTACCATTCTTGATGAGCTTGGTATTGAAGTATTTATGTAAAGTAGACTAATTTAGAACTTGGGTTCCTGCTAATTTTCTTTTTCTTGTGATGGCCTGCTTCTGAATTGTGAATTGGAGACTGCCCTTCCTATTCCTAAATCCTAATGTGGGTGTTGTGTTATAAACCAGGTGTTGGGGAAGGAGACATGTTGACAGCAGATGTGGAAGAAGATAGAGACATTTCTATTAGAACTCAGCCATGAAAAAGCCGATTTTCCAGCAGCAGAATGAAATTTTTTGGGGTTGAACTGTCGCCCGATAATGTTGCCGTGGCCATGGTCTATTTCGTTCAAGGTGTTTTAGGCCTTTCGAGGCTGTCTGTTAGCTTTTATTTAAAGGATGATTTGCATCTTGATCCTGCAGAGGTATGTCCTTGTAATGATTTTAGTTTTATGTTGACAGAAATCTGTGTTAGTTTGTAAATTCAGTCAATGAGTTCAGTATCTAAGGTGAAGATCAGAAGACTTTTAATTTTCATGGACTGACAAAATATACATGTTGTCTAGACAGCTGTGATATCGGGTTTCTCTTCGTTACCATGGCTTGTAAAGCCTGTCTATGGGTTCATCAGGTATGACTCCTCACTACCTCCGTACTTGTCAACTTTTATGATTTTTACGTCGAAAGACCATTTGCCATCTTTAGGGTCTCTAAGCAAAAATTGTTCCATTTCACAGCGACTCTCTGCCACTATTTGGATACCGAAGGAGATCATATTTAGTTCTATCGGGGCTTCTCGGCGCTCTTTCGTGGAGTTTGATGGCTGGACTCGTTGACAGCAAATATAGTGCTGCATTTTGCATACTTCTCGGTTCCCTTTCTGTTGCGTTTTCTGGTGTTGTAAGTTCGTCTCTTATGATTTTCAACTTGACAAATTCCGAGCAATGCGAAGAGTGTCTACCAATTGAATTTCGGGAAAGCTATCTCTTGATGTTTGTTCTTCGATATATAGACAGACATGTGAGATTTTGGAGATGACCTTGGCTGGGTATGTTCTTGTGATTAGTAGGATAGGTTTCTCCTACGCAGCATGTGTTAACGGCCTTGGAATTTATCGCATAACAAAACATGATTAGAGTTAGAGGCTTGAGCATTTGGTTGGAGATTTTTTCATAATGAGGAAGACAAAAATATTTGCTCGGCAATAACATGTGTAGGTAGTAGACTCGATGGTGGTAGAACAAGCTCGTGGTGAGTCGCAAAGCGTGTCGGGATCTCTCCAATCCTTATGCTGGGGTTCCTCAGCTTTCGGTGGAATTGTGAGCTCCTACTTTAGTGGCTCCCTGGTGGATTCCTATGGTGTAAGGTATATACCGAGCAGTTTGCCCGTTCAAATACGATTAACTAAGTGAACATCCTACATGTTTCTATGCCTCAGGTTTGTTTTTGAGGTGACTGCCTTACTACCTCTGATAACTTCAACAGTGGCTGTTCTTGTGAACGAACAGCGTGTGGTCAGGCCAGCAGCAAGACAGAACAAAACCTGGACGAGTCCTCTCTCTCTTCAAAGCCCGAAGCAGCACATTATTCAGCTATGGGGTGCCATTAAGCAACCGAATGTTTTTCTTCCGACCCTTTTTATTTTCTTATGGCAAGCCACACCCCAATCAGATTCTGCAATGTTTTACTTCACGTAATATCCCTCCCCTCGGTTATGCTTATCGTTTCTTCTCGTATTTCCATCCTTAGCTAGTATCTGTTTTGGAATTTCTTAGGACGAACAAACTCGGGTTTACTCCGGAGTTTCTGGGACGGGTGAAGCTCGTGACGTCTATAGCCTCCTTGCTTGGGGTTGGGCTGTACAATGGATTCCTCAAGACTGTACCGCTGAGAAAAAAATTTCTTGTGACAACAATTATTGGCACAGGTCTTGGAATGACTCAGGTTGGTCCGAACATGAACAGCCAGCCATCTTTCTCTAACCATATCCCGAGTCCTGATGAGCGACTCCCGATCTGCTATTATGGCGTATGCAGGTTTTCCTTGTCACAGGTCTTAACATGCAGATGGGGATAAGCGATGAGTGGTTTGCCATTGGAGACTCTCTGATTCTTACAGTTCTTGGCCAGGTCTAATATCTATATCCTCTGTTTGCTGCAAAGTTATGGGGTTGCCATTATCAACTAACTGTGACAGATTATCAACTGTGATCATAGGCTTCATTCATGCCGGTTCTCGTATTAGCAGCAAGATTGTGTCCAGAAGGAATGGAAGCAACGCTTTTTGCGACGCTCATGTCAATATTGAACGGAGGGAGCGTTCTCGGAGGTCTTATGGGTGCAGGACTGACCCAACTCTTTGGTGTAACCAAAGACAGTTTCGACAACTTAGCCACTCTTATAATTCTCTGCAACCTCAGTTCGTTATTGCCTCTTCCACTTCTCGGCCTCTTGCCTCGGGATTCGCCTGACAGTGGTTCCAAGGATGATCCAGAGATTGAGATGAAATCAAACTAAGGATATGGTAATGAATGTTTTCATGGTTGTAATGATTTGAAACCCGAGTGAAGCTTAGATTTCATGGCATTGAGAGACAAGAATGGATGATGTATCATAGCTAGAGTGACACAAGTGGCTCAAGAACTACATTGGATGTTTCCTGTGGGACAGGCATGAATCATTGTAATGAACTCCATGAATCTTCCAAGTAATTTTCACAGAGAGGATTCAACATGTGTTGGGCAAAAAACTCGCATTCATTGCAACGAGCAGTGAGGATTTTCTGTTTTTCTTTTTCTAAATATGGAAGGATAAAAGTTTTCTGGCAAGCTCTTGAAATTTCCTATGTTGGGCCCACCAAAGCAGGAGCCGAAGAAACTATATCTCGCATCCTGAGTTCAACGACGTGTCCGAAGACGAACATGGCGTTAGCGACCGGAGCAACCCTAAGCCATATTGCCAGAGAATCTTCAGATATCAGACGCCTCGCCGATTTCTACAAAGAGGTGATACCGATTCTTCAGACCCACTATTTTTCATTTGTTAAGTTTCGATCTTGTTCCTTGATGTCATCGGATTTCTGTTCTGGTTTGTGTTCCACAAGTTCGAAACACGGCGTTCTAGGGTTTCGAAACGCAGATCTTTGGCCCTGAAACTGTCCCAATCACACAGAAACTCAACCAAACCTTTTCAATGGCATCTTTTGTTCGAAAGTTTAGGGATTTCCTCCTTCTGGTGGGGGGATTGATGGATGGTTTTCTTTTCTTCAGGTGTTTGGGTTTGAAGAGATTGAAAGCCCTGATTTTGGAGATGTAAAGGTCATATGGCTGGATTTGCATGGCGCCTTTCCAATGCACCTGATCCAGAGGAACCCTTCTACGAAGCTTCCGGAAGGTCCGTACAGTGCGGACACGTCAGCCGTGCGTGATCCCAGCCATCTCCCCATGGGCCACCACATCTGCTTCTCCGTCTCTGACTTTGACTCTCTGGTTCAGTCTCTCAAGGTACCTCCTGTATGATATTGCTTTCTCAACAATATTAGCTAGAGAAGCTTTGATATGGCCACCAAAGGATGGAACTTTGACAGACTCTAGACGTAGTTTTCGAGTGCCATGAGGTTTGTAGGCTGTTTCGTACAGCTAATAAAGTTTAGTCGGTATCGGAAAAAACCTTTCGGTGGTTCGAAATCATGCACCCTTTTAGAGATTCTCCATTCAGATTGTGCAAATATGAACGTAGAACAATCAAGAGATAGGAATTTGGTTGGCAATTGAGTTAACCAGTGGAAGGACGCAACTCCCTCATGCCCTTTTGTCTCTCTCTCGGTTTGGTTGGTACATATGCGGTCCGATGTCATGATGTTTAACCGCTATGGATCGACGAGGCTTTGGTTAAGGTTCAGTAGCTCGGTGCAACGGTTCCAAGATAGATACTTAGGCTCGATTTCCCATGAGTGATGTGCAGGCAAAAGGGATCGAAACTTTCCAAAAGTCACTTCCAGACGGAAAAGTCAGGCAGGTTTTCTTCTTCGATCCGGACGGTAAGCCCTCCCTCTCGACGTAAAACTAAGCTAGACTTTCGCAATTTTACAGTAATATGAAATATGATTCCTCTTTTGGTGGTTAGCCTTTACATTTACAATTTCACGGTAATGTTTTTGTATTCTCGACCAACTTTACTGTCGATACGCAGGAAATGGGTTAGAGGTCGCAAGTCGCCAGGCCTAAGCGCAGCGGTTGAGATGCAAGTGTTTGTCCATGAAATGAAACAGATACATACATGCATATATATATGTGTGTATATATTCAGTATGTTGGAATATGTGGAAAAATAACAAGGCTGTCGTATATAAAAGAGCCTTCTCTTCACTCTGCTTTTTTTACACGAGGTTTGACATATATACACTTGCGTATACGTATGTACGTATATGTTTGTTCGGAAAGCATTGATACGCTAGTTTCATGGGTTGGAGACAGTAACAGTCTGCATATTAGTAACAAAAAAAAAAAAAGATTTTACGCTGTCCGAAGGGGTGTCAAACGAGTCGGCTCGTTTTGAGTTTAGCTCGTCAGACTCGTTTTCAAACGGCAGAACCCCCCCCCACCCCCCCGACTCGGCTCGAATCGTCCGGTTCATTCACGTGCTAAACGAGTCGAAAAGACGTAATGTTTTTTATATTCATATTAAGAAACCGGCTCAACTGGTGTAAAAACGAGCCGCCAACGCAAGATGAGATCGTTTTGACACCTCTGCCGACCGAAGATTTGGGTTCCGAAGGTATCTAACCGTAAACATCATCAATTCACATGTAGGAGATACTGTAAAAAAATGCCAAAACACAAGATGATGATGGTGATGGTGGTGCAAACAAAGGCAAGGGTGTGAAGAACAGCCCCAGAAAATGACGCAGCGATTCTTGTGTTCGCCCACTCTATGGCACTCCCTATAAGACAGCTTTATTTCCATACAACATTGCAAGTGTCACAAAAACAAAGGCCCTTCCTCTGTACTTGTCTGCTTTAGATTTTGCTTTTAGGTCGAATATATTTCTTCCTCTGTACTTGTCTGCCAATCCATGAAAATTTGTTCTAGATACATGTGATCAATCTCTAGAGCAATGGAATTTTGTTTTATTTTTTTATAATTCAAAAATTATTGAGTTTTCGATTCGACTAGGTCTCCCAAAATATGGGGAAAAGAGTTTTGTCTCGCCCTTAGCAGTTGAAAGACCCCTTGTGAAATTTGTTATGCATACATATCAATCTCTAAAGCCACCAAAATTTGTATATAGATTTCGTATGTAGCAACTAAAGCAATGGTAATGGAGTCGTTTTAAACCATCCCAAATCTTTTTTTAAATATGTGTTTTGAGATGTTATAATACGCGTGAATTTATGTTATAACATCAACTCCACGACATGGACAAACCGATTTGTCATATTTGCTGATTTTTATTTTTTCAAAAGAATCTGATAATATATATATGATAAATTATATAATACTACTTCATGGTCATATGAAATGATGATGTTAAGCTTGGAACCTTTATGGGTTTTGTAGCCCATGCATATGTTATCTACGTGCGTCTCTCTCTCTCTCTCTCTCTCTCTCTCTCTGTCATATATATATATATATATATATATATATATATCAACCCACCTAATCCATTTGCTGAAAGCACGCACCCCTCTCTCTCTCTCTCTCTTGAAAAAGAATCATGTGGAAAAGCTTCCACCTTTGCTTTCCGACAAACCTAACTAAGTGCTCATCTCCGCCGTGTCTCCCCTCATCCTCCTCCGCCGCCGCTGATCTCGACGACCCTAAGCGTCCCTCACTCCTCCTTGACAACTTCAACTTCTTCTACCACTCCTCCTCCTCCTGAGGGAAACAAGCCATTAATCCAAAGATGGGTATACCGAGGAAGGTGATGGTGTTCGTGAACTTCCTCTACACTGTATTGGTCCTCAACTACTCATCCGTCGGCTTTATGGTAATGATTCTCCTCCTCCCTCATCTCTCTCTCTCTCTCTCTCTCTCGCTCTCTCTGTCATATATATATATATATATATATATATATATATCAACCCACCTAATCCATTTGCTGAAAGCACGCACCCCTCTCTCTCTCTCTCTCTTGAAAAAGAATCATGTGGAAAAGCTTCCACCTTTGCTTTCCGACAAACCTAACTAAGTGCTCATCTCCGCCGTGTCTCCCCTCATCCTCCTCCGCCGCCGCTGATCTCGACGACCCTAAGCGTCCCTCACTCCTCCTTGACAACTTCAACTTCTTCTACCACTCCTCCTCCTCCTCCGTCGCCGATGTCCTTTCCACCGCCGCCGCCACCACCTCCTCCTCATCCTACGAATCCGATGATAATTACGAAATTGCCCCTGACTCTCCCCCTCCCGACTTTGCTACTGTCTTCGCCTCCCGCCGCTTCTTCTTCTCCTCCCCTGGCCCCTCCAACGCCATCATCGACTCTCCCCGAGAACTCTCGGATAACTGCGATAATGCCACTGCCGCCTCTACGACTGCGAAGAAGAAGAATTACGATCCTGCCACTGCCGTGACTACGACGAAGACGACGGCTTCATCCGTTTCGCGGCTGCTGAGCGGCGGAGTCGCCGTGACGCAACACGTGCATTCGCGGGATCCGTACAGAGATTTCCGGCGGTCGATGCAGGAGATGATAGACGCCATGGACGGGAGAGATGCTGACGTGGCGATGGAAGGGTACGAGTTCTTGCACGAGTTGCTGCTCAGTTACCTCTCCCTGAATCCGAGGGACACGCACGAGTTCATCATCAGGGCCTTCGCCGATATTCTCGTCTCGCTCTTGTCGGACTCTCGCCGGAGATGCTGACGTGGCGTTGGAAGGGTACGTTGTATCGCCGCACGTGACTGATACGTGTGTTCTTTTTTCCAATTTACTGTCAGATTAACGTTTTAGGGCTTCAAGAAAGAGATGCAACGGACCCAAGAAGAAGAATTTACAGACATTTTCTTTTCCTTTATTATTTTCTAAGTCGGGATATCGGTGAAAATAAAATAATATGTTTAATTTCCATGCATCACGACAAAAAAATCAATGTAATTATTATGTAATGATAACGAGGAAATCGAGGGAGGTGTGTGGACCTTTTGCCTCGATTGCTTGCATGTTCCGTTTCTTCTTCTTATTTTTTTATTAGTGTATATATATATATATATAATGTTTTTACAAAGTTAAAGGTTGAGGGTAATTACTACTAGAAACCTCGAAGTCCTTTTATATGCTTTTGTTTCAATAATACATACTTAATAGTACCAAGCCTATGAATATAAATATGCTAATGATTTAGACATATTTTTGGATTTTATACATAATCATATTGATTATTTTTATTCAAAGTATGGTTATAGTCGAAAAAGGAGAAGCAATCTACTCAAAGGCAACGGTTCTATAAGCGACCACATGGTCTTGGTCTCTGGAGTAGCTACTCTGTCTTAATATCAAATCACATGTTCACGAATAGGCCAATATAGAGAAAAAAAAATGAAAATAACGACTATTAGGTAAAAAATATATAGGGTACTGTTTTTGTTTTGTTGAACACATCTATAATTAATAAAAAAAATAATTTAAATAATTAGGATTAATTTTAGTACCATAGATGGCTTACCTTAATACCATGAATTATATATATATAATGTTAGGTAACATTTTAGAATCACGTAAACTTATAAGTAACATTTTTTAATGAATGCATGGATTAAACGAGGTAACGATATGTCCAAAAAGATTGTGTGCGTTATTGAACTGATGAAATTTGTAGGATCAATGCAACAAAGTTTAAGCAGACAGCATAGTGACAAATTTGGAGCGGTCGTCTCAAAACACAAAGCATGAAGCATGAGACATCGATAAGCGCCCAAATTACGATATATATATATATATATATCATATCAAGGCGTAGATTGATTTTGTCATTAGCTATGGTTCGGTTCGGTTTAGTTTGATTATTTTTCCCATTGATTTCTTTGTATTTTGTATTTAATGAATATGTTGCATAATTTAGCTTTATTACATATGGAAAACCAAAATGCTCCTAATTGATCTAATCATATGATTCAATATATAATTTCCAAGAGTCTTAAGATTTTGGATAATCTAACGACAAAAATTAATCTTGATCCTTGTAAAAAAACAAAAATTAATCTTGAGATATTTTTTATTATTTCCATAAGATTTAACACATAGCACAATGTGAGAAAAAAAAAACAAAAAAGGAGAATCCTATGAGGTCTATGGGGCAATTCAACACAGCATTGTAATATTTTATGATAATTAATTAATCAAATCAAAATGCACAAAAGTTAAGCTGGTTTAGGTAAAGTGAGACCACACCTCTTGTCCTCATCTCCTAAAGGCTCATAATAATTCACAATTCATAAGATCTATAATTCTTACATATACGTACGTATATAATCTACTGCTATTGATTTTTATATAAGTGATAGTTGGAAGACTTTTTTAAAACGTATTAATGTTAGAAACGGCCCTTTTCTTATTACAATATATATATATATTGTAATGCTGTGCGAAATAAACTTTCACAGCTGGTTAAGATTTCCATATCAGTTGCATCCGAATTCATATTTTTATTAGTAAGAAATAATTATTTCCAGTCAAGAGTGCCAGGTTTTCCGCGGCGTGTCTCTAACTGTGGGCAATCACATGTTTAATTCATCTAATTAATGTAAATGCGTGCGATTGCCAAAGTTATTAAGTAAATAATAAATTATAAAATATCAAGAAGCTGGAATAGCTCAGTTGGTTAGAGCGTGTGGCTGTTAACCACAAGGTCGGAGGTTCAACCCCTCCTTCTAGCGTTTTGTCCTTTTTTTTCAAAATTTAAAATATATTTTATTCGGTGATATAAATTCGCCGGAGGGTAAATTCGTCATTTCGACCAAAAGGAATCGCGGGTGGTCTCTCTCTCGCTCTGCGAAATCTGCGACATTCGCCGTCGTTAATTCCGGTTGGTTCACTTCTCGTCCTACGCCATGGAAACATAACACAAAGTGCAACCGATGCTCATTCTCTCGCGTAATAACAAATCTTGTTATTTTAAAAAAAATAAACCATTTTTTTATTCCATTTCTGGTTGTGGATAATGATACTGATTAATTCCTTAACTTCTTATTTCGCCCCTCTAGTCTGCGATTGATCAGTTAACACCCCTAATGCTGCCTAATCGAGTTTTTCCATATAGTTTGTGATTTGATCATTCAGCCCCCCCAACTGTCATTGTAACTGTAATAAAACACGAGTTATACTAATTGAAATAGAAGCTAATGAAACAAACATATATATATATAACCAAACCCACCAGAATCAATAAATAAAAAGCCTTTGAGCACAACATCTGGACAATGCTTGGCATACAAGCAAGGGATGGTAAAAACAAAACCCCCGACACAAAAACAAAACAAAACAAAATTGGAAAAATAAAAAAACCCGGAGACAATGCTTGCAGAGAAAAGAAGCATATACAAGCATTGCTTCCGTTGAGAAAGGTATGATCAAAACCCAAAACAGAGAAAGAAGGAGAGTTCTTCATATAAACACCAAACCCATTCTTCCAAAACCCTAATATTTCTTCCCCAGAATTACACCAATGAGGATGGAAACCAGAGCAACTCCAAACACAATCTTGATTGTGGCAAGAGGTGAGGTTTCAGCCATCTGTGTAGTAGTCTTGCCCGAAGAAGAAGACGAAGACGGTATCGCTGATCCGATGTCTCGAGATTTCACTTCCACTTTGCTTTTCAGTTCGGTTTCCACCACCTTGAGTCCCTGCAACAACAGTTTCGACCATAAGCAGCTTGTTTTTGAGATTTTCAGATAAACCTCAACGTTCTTGAACGGAAACCAAATTCAGTTTTGATGACAGAAGTATAATTTACATGAACTTAAATGGCTTGCTTTTTTAGATTTCAAGGACTTTTCACTGAAAAAAAAATGATTTTATGTGCATATCATGAAAGACTAACCTTAGATTTAGAATCTACATCCTTTACTTTCTGTTCAAGTTCTTTGAGGACTGATTCGAGCTGGACGACTTCCTTCTTCTTTGCTTCGAGCTCTTCCTGAGTTTGCTTTAAGGCTGCCTCCTGCTCTGTCTGCTTTCGGGTATGCGCTTCTTTCTGTTTCCATGAGAAATTTATCAGAACTAATGACAATTCCAAGAGAAACTGAGGGTTCTGATTAGATACCATAAAGAGAAAGAAAGGCAATCAACCTGTTCAGAAGCGGAAGTCGAAGCAAGTTGAAGCTCTTTTTGAAGTTGGAGCACTTTCTCGTGGAGAGTGTCTCTCTCGCTGGCCTTATTTTCATGTTCCTGCAGCTTAGATGTTAACTCTGCCTCCTTCATTGAAGCGGCAGCTCTTACATTTTCAACCTGGAAGAACCAAGAAACGGTAAATGGATGATCTGTGGATCTCAAAGTACTAAAAGTTTTCCTGTCTGATGAGTAAATTACCTCTTCTTTTAACTGAGATTCTACTACTGTCAATTGTTTCTTGAGTTCTTCTAGATGTGACTGCAGCACTTGCTTTTCAGAAGCCTCAGCTTTAAGCTTATCAATTTCAGCTACTAGACCATCCATGCTAGACTTCTGTGTTTCGAATTGTTCTCCGAGCTGTGCAATCACTGATTGGAGTTCATTCTTGGTGCTTTGATGCACCTCGTTGAGTTGGCTGTTCTCTTCCATGAGTGAAGAAATCTGCAGAACAAGAGGCGTTATTTTCCGTAAGATCAAATTAAAGAACAAATTTGCAAAACCGGTGACGGTAATTGGAACATTTAGATTCTACCTGGGATTGTAATCTCTCTCCTTCTGAAACAAGCTGTTTTGTCAAATCTTCTATGTTTGTCTTTGAAGCTTCAAGATCTTTGGCTGTTTGGTCCTTCTCAGCTTCAATGTCAGTAAGTTTTGATCGCAGCTCGCTGGCCTCTGAACTATGACTGGCTACTTCCTGGTTCAGCTTTAAATTCGTCTCGGCCAAAGCCCCGCTTTCTTTCTCTAAACCGACACATTTGGCTCCGAGCTCTTCTACAACAGCTTCGAGATTCTTCAGTTTCGACAAAGCTTCCTCTAGCTCCACGCTTCTTGTTTCAGCTATCTCTGATGCTTCATGAATATTTTTCTTGTACTCCTCAATATGACCTTCAAGTGCTTTTACTTTCTCGATCAAATCCCTTGCCTCTGTTTCTTTCTGATTGAACCTCTCGGTTGTTTCTTGCAACTGTTTCATTGCAGTGTCCTTCTCAGAAGCACCGGAATCCAGCAAATCCTGAAGCTCTTGAATCTTGATCTTGAGCTGGTTGTTTGTCTCTGCCAGTAATTCATTGTCCGAGGATGACAGTGAAGCTTTGTCTAGTGCCTGGACAATCTCGGTTTTGAGTTCTTCATTAGCAGTCTCTGCAGAGGAGAGTTTTTCCAATGTTCGATCGAGTTCTTCTTTCAAATCAGAAGATTTCCCAGATGCTTCAGCCAACTGTTCTTTGTATAATACTATTTTGTCCTCGAGATCTTTCAATTTCTCAGACAATGACTTGGCCTCTGAATCTCTGCTAGTGTAATCCTCCATTGCCTTCTGAAGTTTAAGCTCTGAATCTCTACTTACAGATTGATGCAAAGCTTCAAGTTCCGTGGCTCTTGATGTGGCTTGATCCAATTCTCTTGCTTGCTGCTCAAGTCTCTCTTCAGCTGACTTAAGCGTCTCCATTACCTCACTTTCCCTTATACCAGAAGCTTTCAGATCATTCTCAGTGCTCTCCAACTTTTCTAGTGTGACACTCAATTCGCTCCTGAGAACACCTAACAGATCTTCAGACCCCACAATCTTCTCACTGTACTCATTAACCACATCTTCTAACTTCTTTCTCTCGTCCATCACCGCATTCAGATTTTCCGTCAATTCTCTCCCTTTCTCATTGGAAATTTTTAAAGCAGCTTCAAGACTTGAGTTCCTTGCTTGTGATTCCTCTAGTCCGGACTGAATCTCAGCCACCTGATCCAAGAACCCTTTTGAATCTGCTTCAGTTTCATTGCATTTCTTCTCCAGCGAGCTAATCTGCTCCTCAAGCTCCTGAATTCTAATCCTTTCTGTTTGGATTAGCAACTCTAACTCCTTCACTTTTCCCTCTGCATCATCTAATTTTGACTGCGATGTCTGAAACAGACCTTCTAGTTCAAGGCTGCGCTGGTGATTCATATTGACCCGGTCGTCATGTTCTGCACCTTTCTGCAAAGCAATTCTCACTTCTTCTTCAAGCTCTGAATTTCTTGCTGATGAGTGATTCAAAGAAGATTCCAGCTCGGTAATTTTCTTTTGGTATTCCTGCAGTTGACCAGCCACCCGAATCTTTGCCTCCTCGGCCACTTCCAGAGCAGCTTTTAGTTCAGATACTTTCTTAGAAGATTCGTTCAGTTCTCTTTCTGTGTCACTGCTTTTTAAATCCAATAGGTTCAGTTGTTGCTCAAGCTCTACATTCTTCTGTTCGGCTGCGATGAACCGTGTCTCCAGCTCTTTCAGTTTCGATTTAGCTTCTTCCGCTGCTTGATTTGAAGACTGAACTATACCCTCAAGCTCAAGATTCTTTTGTCTAGCAGCTGCAGTTGCAGCTCCAGATTCAATATGAAGTTCCTCCACTGATTTCAGCTTTTGTTCAAGCTCAGAATTGTTAGACAAAGCTTGAGAAAGAAGAGCATCTGTTTTAGAGAAATTCTCATATGAAATCTTCAGTTTTTCTTCTAGTTCCCCGCAGATCTCCTTCAGTTTTGCTGCATTACTTGTGAGGTCTCCCACTGCTACTTCAAGCTCTTCTTTTTCTTTCAACGCCTCAGTCAATTTCTCATTTGCAGTTCTGAGCTGTTCTTCATAGTCTTTCAATAAAGAATCTAGCAAGTCTTTCTCCTTGAGTTCTTCCTTGAGCTTTGTGTTTATGTCTTCCAATTCAGAGACTTTAGCCTGAAGATCTTTGGTTTGAGCAGAGAAATGCTCAAGAGCTGATAACTCTTCTCTGAACTGAGACTCAGAAGCCTTCTTCTGCTCAAGTTCCTGGGTCAATTCATCAATGAGAGCTTCTTTTGAAGACATTTTGTGTTCTGTCTCAAGCAGCTGAGGTTTTAAAATTGCCATCTCCTCTTGAACGGCAGCTAATTCTCCTGTAGTGTTCTTCAGTGCTGCTTCCACCTTTTCATTCTCAGTAATCTTCTCTTGCAACTCCTTGAGTTCTTGCTGCAGACACAACATTTTGTCTTCCATCTCTTTTGCGGTTTCTTTTGTCAATTCAAGCAACCGTTCAAATTCCGAAGCCCTTTGCGTCTCAGACTCAGCGTGAGAAGCACTTTGCTTATGCAGCTCCTCAAATTTCTGTGCCGCCTCAGCTGAATGACTCATTGCTTCCTCCAACTCTAGCATCCTTTTCCTCGAGTTCTCAAGCTCAATGCCTAACCCATCAAATGCTTCCTTAACTTCCGTTAGTTCCTTATGTTTGGCGTCTTGAGACTGCAAAGCGCTTTCCAGAGCCTTCAGCTGTGAGCTATGTTTCTCTTCCGCTTCCACGATCTGTTCCTGCAGCTTCTTGTTGACAACTTCGAGTTCTTCCTGCTTCTTTTTAATTTCTTCGAACTTCTCTCTACTAGACAAAATCTCATTTGTCAACCGGGCATTTTCAGAATCATATCGTTTCAGTTCTCCTGCTACTCTTTCCAGTTCGAGTTCCAGCTCTTTCACCTTCTCCTGTGATTCACGTAATTCTCTTTGTGAACCACTTGAACTCCTGTCAAGTGAAACTTCTTTCCTTTGCTCTTGTGCAGGAGCATGCTCTGCTTTGTCCGACTCGTCCTTGGCATCAGTGGCTTCCTTCTCAACTTTTATGAATTCCCCATCAAGCGTTGTATCTTTGTCTTCTTTACCCAGAACTCTCTCTTCCTTGGGCAGTTCTCCATTTGCAGTCTGTAACAAATTGTCGCCATACTTAACTCTCACATAATGTCTCATAGCTTGAATGCTAAATCAAGAAGCTTGACAGACAGATCATGGATTCAATATTAACTCGATCGAGTGTTAGAAGAATTAAAATCCTAAAAGAGATTCACGTCAGATATAGAGAAAGAAAAATGCACAAAATTGTATGAGCAAACGGGTAATTGTTCCATTAGAAGACTCGAACCATCACTTTGGACAGATCATAGAAACCAAGTAAAAAACTACAAAAGGGCCATTACCTTAACAGGAACATCAACAGTATTCGGTTCCTCAGAGGCTCCTTTCACCGCCACAGGGATCTCGGAACTCACTTGTGTTGCTTCTTCCATGCTCTGATGTGACGACAGTACCAACTAAATTTGCTCTTCAACTGTCAGAAGATGAGAAGAAACTTCAAAGAATAAGCAGACTTACAAGAGAGGTTTAAGCAGTTGTTTCAAACAAAGAACATTATCACTGTCCATTGCATCAAGCTATCTTGAGTTCTGGTTTCTCGCATGAACAAGAAATCAAAGAAACAGTAACTTGCAAGAAAGAGAATCCAATTCCCTGAAGTTAATATGTATGCATGTGTATATAGATAAGATCATTGTTGATGGAGTCAACCGAAAAAGACTGTTTCTCCATGGAAGCAACTCGCATCTTCAGAACAAATTGCTGGCAACCCAACGGGTAGATTTCTTGGAGTTGATTAATAAAAAAACAGAGAAATGCAGATCTTAAGTCGTATCATCCAAAATCGTGCGGAGAAGACAAAAGGGTTAACACGTGAATATACCATGCGGTTTTTAACTTTGTTATTGTCACCAAACAAAGGTATTTTCGAATGTGACATTATTCCGAACAGACCAATCCGTAGACAAAATATTTTTGTCGCGGCTCATATTTTGATCAAATAATTAGAATGATCCGATCAAGAACGATAAAAATCCAGAAGAACTAAAAAAAAAAAAATCAACTCAGGGCAATATAATAAGCCAGCGACCATGTGAGTTTGACATGAAATGTTTGATAGAAAATTTCATTTTGCACTGTTCAAGATTCCATGTATTATTAAGTTATATTTAAAGTTTTCAAATTTCAAAAAAAAAAAAACTTTACCCGTTTGGGTTTTGGTCTGAATTCAGTTCAGACACATTATATATTATTTGATAACATTTCATAAGCATATTTCAGACTTTGCCTCTCTTTTTTTTTTCTTATTTCTAAGGAAAATAATTTATTATATAGTAAAAATAATTGATAACTCAAGCTATAAATTTGACTATTTTAAAATCAAGATCTTGCAGGTGAATGAATATATAAGAATCACAAACCACGCCGACCAGATTCCACCACAACTCAGATCACACTGTTTTGGAGTCTTATTTAATTCCTTTTCTGCACCAAACCGGATTAAACCGGGATTCATAGTGAGATAAACCAAATAAATCCCGGTTCACGAGGAATCTTGCCATACGTTACAGACTGACGACTTTTGATAAAGCCATTTCTGTGCGTGTAAACCTAACACTAGTCAGACCTTAGCCTAAGCATGATTAACGCCGTTAAAAAAGAGGGGATTATAACCATAAAATACTATCCAAATCCATCGAGTTCTACAAGTTTTTTTGTTAGCATATATGGGTTTGATATTTTAATGATTACTATATATTTTCCTTTTTACCAAAAAAAAAACATCTGGGTTTGATGATTAGTGTAGTAGATGATTATAGCTCTCTTTAGCAATAATCAAAGAGCCCAAATTAAACTATGATTAGAGAGATCATGGGCTTTGCTCCATCGGCGTTTGAATATCAGTGGCAGGATCGCAAGCAACGGAATATAGTTCGATTTTCTAGTTAGAAAAAAATAGAAAACAGTTACTAAGATCGATCAAAACAAAGGGGGCAGTCAGATTTCGAATTCGGAAGCATAACGACTGGAAATTCAAAATTTCAAAGATGATTGATCTAAACCGATCCGTGATCAGAATGCTAGAAACCTAAATCCACGAAGAATCGAAACAGAGAAGAGCGAGCAGGATCTTCAAACAACAAACCAACCATGAAAATCCAGAAAGAAAGAAAAAACAAAAAGAAGCAGAGAACGATGAAAGCGCTTGCCTGCAGCTGAATCCGATTCCGATGTACTCCGTTTTCCTCCTCCTCCTCCTCCTGCTTCTTCGTTGAATTTTCTCCGAAATCGAAAAGAAAAAATGAAAAAGAGAAGATGATGATGACGAGGGGAAATGGAAATGCAAATTACAGAAATGACAGAGAGAATCTTTGGAGTGGTATATAAAGTGTGACAGGTGGGGCCGCAAATTTGAAAGCCAACTCTGGCGGACGCCGTCGTTTTGCCTCATTTCCTACTCTACCCCTTGTTTCATCACTCAATTACCATTTTATCATTCATTCATGAGATGGATTCTCTCTTTTGTGTATTCCACATTTTTTTAAAATGCAATATTCCATTTTCAGTCTCGTGAATTTAGGGACATGTTTTTATTTTTCTGGTTATATAATTTTCAAAATTATGAGTCTAATTATATGTTAGAAATTATTTTGCATTATATTCTTCAAAACAAAAATATAAAAGAGAACGGAAGAAGGCTGAGGGCATATTAGTAATTTAGTATGCCAAGGAAGAACAAAAGTAGAGCTGGAGAGCTGACCGAAAAGGGCCAAGGAGAGGCCCACAAGACCCAATGAGAGACTGACCGACCAAACCGCCCTCTTTCATTGAAGCATTTGTATATATACTTATGTCTTATTTTTTATGATTTGACCCCTCAACTTTTTCTTTTTTACCTAACAGGGACGTTTTAGCTTTTTTGTAATAATCTTGTTAATTTGTTCATATGATTTATAATTAAAGTTTATTACTGCACCTTTTTAATAAAAGTTTGACTCAAATTTTATTGGCAAGAATCAATATCTACTGATTTAATATGTAAGATCTGGATATTTATTGGTGAGGATCATATGTCTAAATAGAGATAAAAATCACATGGATGCCAATGCAGATTGATAATATGATTATATAATTAAAAGCAAGATACTTTTAAGTAATAAAACTTAAATAAATAGTAAAAAGTATAGTTATATTACATTTAAATTTAATATCTGAAGAATGTTCTTTTGTCATAAACAATCTAATTTAGGATGGAATCAAATATGATCTATGACTAGTGAAAATATACCTAGCCACTTTCCCACTTGGTCAAACTCCATAAACACATTAAATGATGCTTTGGCTCTTAAGTTTTTATAGTTTTTAATATAAAAAAAAGTTGAAGAATTTTAGGAAGGCATTCGAACATACTTTTTTGTTCATATCGACATTTAGCATCGGTTTTCTGTACTCCTTTTGTTTTTTTTAAAAAAATTATAATCGTATTATAATTATTGTTTTGTAATTAGTTATACTACAAAAAGAAATTGAAGAGAAATAATGAGAATATTTAATACTAATTGAAAAAGTTATGTCTCGAAATTTCTAATCGATATATTTTTTTCTAAACAGAAAATCTGATTCCAAAAATTAAAACTAAACCAAAATTTCGATATATTATTATTAATTTTATGTGGCTGAGGTTGCTTTCAATTAATTAATTGCAATCTTTTTAACACTAGATATCATGATAAAAAAAATGTAAATCAGTACTTCTAATTTTCGGAACAGGTGGTATATAGTATTATTTAAGTAAAAAAAAAAGTGAAAATAATCTTTCATTGCAATTATAGAGATGCGTACGTCTATATATTCAAAAATACATCCTCGTATAGATGTTGAATTTTTTGGGGGGTGCTTGTTGGACCCTTTGTCCAAATCCATATATAATGGACGAGGTTACCGCATACATGTCATATATAGCACAATCCAATATAATGGCGACAAATTTAAATAACCTGATACAAAATATAAATGTATACCCCTTTTATTGTACTCATGAAGAAAATGGATTTGACGAACCGTAAAACTTGCACGTTAAGGCAACATAATCCAAAATTTCATCAAGGCAAAATCAACAATTTATTCTAACATGGAAAATAATTCTATGTATATATTAGTGAAACTTAATAAAAATAGAGTTCGCATTCATGTTGATCGGGTTATTATTATTATTATTATTATTATTATTATTATTATTATTATTATTATTATTATTATTATTATTATTATTATTATTATTATTATTATTATTATTATTATTATTATTATTATTATTATTATTATTATTATTATTATTATTATTATTATTATTATTATTATTATTATTATTATTATTATTATTATTATTATTATTATTATTATTATTATTATTATTATTATTATTATTATTATTATTATTATTATTATTATTATTATTATTATTATTATTATTATTATTATTATTATTATTATTATTATTATTATTATTATTATTATTATTATTATTATTATTATTATTATTATTATTATTATTATTATTATTATTATTATTATTATTATTATTATTATTATTATTATTATTATTATTATTATTATTATTATTATTATTATTATTATTATTATTATTATTATTATTATTATTATTATTATTATTATTATTATTATTATTATTATTATTATTATTATTATTATTATTATTATTATTATTATTATTATTATTATTATTATACGGAAGTAAAACGTTGGACATAATTCAATGGGGTCGAAGCCTTTTTGGTAGGTGGAAAAGCATAATTAATATATAAATAAAACAAAAACTATATAAGAAATAAAAGAGGAAAGGGTAATTTGCAAGGCATTCCAATAAACCCTTACACTTCATGTCATTGCATTTGCATGTCCTTCCATTCATTATATATACACATACACACACGTATACATGTATAAGCATCGCCTTGCATATTCTCCATTAATTCACCATTTTGATTTCCCAAAACAATGGAACATACAAAATTTTCATTATCTCTATCCATTTTCATTGCCATATTTGCCATTTTGGCACCCCAAGCTCTCTTCAAAACAAACCCTAAAACCCTAATCACCTCCTTAATCGAACTCCGTGGTATCAGAACATTTTCATCGCCGATTCTAGAATCCATATTCTCGTACGGATATTTTTCCCGTCATCATCGCCATCACCATCACCACCATCATCATGAACCCTCGGACGATAAAACCCGAAAAAGGGTATCGGTATGCGACGAATTCCCGAAGGATATTCCACCTCCGGATACCAACACGACGTCGACCTTGTGCGTGGACAAGAACGGCTGCTGCAACTTCACGACGGTTCAGTCAGCCGTCGATGCTGTCGGAAATTTCAGCCAGAAAAGGACTGTGATTTGGATAAACTCCGGCGTCTACTAGTATGTATACCCTAAGATTGTATCATTCATATATATATATATATACACATATATACGGAAATGTAGATGAATATATATGTTTTTTTTTCAAATTTTTGGCAGTGAAAAAGTGTTGATTCCGAAGACTAAGCCGAACATAACGTTTCAAGGGCAAGGGTACGAGACGACGGCCATAGCGTGGAACGACACAGCCTATTCAGCTAACGGAACATTTTACAGTGGGACGGTCCAAGTCTTTGCATCTAACTTCGTTGCTAAGAACATTAGTTTCATGGTCAGTCCCCTTTCAATTATTTACCATATAGTATATTAAAACGATTTCTATAGCTTAGTAATTAATTAACATTCAACCTTGGATAATCAATTGTCGTAGTTTGGTCAACCCTAATTAATTAGAACTATAAGTACCCGATTGTAACGTTTACGCCAAATCTATCCGGAAAATATAAACAAGTTTCCAAACAAACGCATGCAAGTAATGTTCATATCATTATATGTTTTGCATTTTGATCAATTAATAGTGAACTCTTCATCGATGGTATTTCATTGGACTCTAACCAGTTTACCTCAAAATGGGTTTGATTACACATACCGATATTCATATCGAGATTGAAATGATCGAGTGTGTGCGCGTATATATGTATAGAACGTGGCTCCGATACCGAAACCGGGGGATATAGGAGCACAAGCGGTGGCGATAAGGATAGCAGGAGACCAATCTGTGTTCTTGGGATGTGGTTTCTTCGGAGCTCAAGACACTCTCCATGACGACAGAGGTCGACACTACTTCAAGGATTGCTATATCCAAGGCTCCATCGATTTCATCTTCGGCAACGGAAGATCTCTCTACCAGGTAGAGCGAATCCAAATTAAACTAAACCGATATAACCGATCATATATCCTTCTAATACTCTATTTTAATGAATCTTTTTTGTGTGTATAAACGAGTGAAAAACCTTTTTATTAGATGGAAAAGAAGAGAAAAAACATCTAGAATAACAATGTAAAAAGTTTCACTGTTCATAAAAAGTTTACAGTAGATTTGGACCGATATAATATCATATATTCTAACACCTTACCGTATAGATAAGAATTGTATATTTGATGAATTTTTCCACGTGTAAACGTGCACAACCCTTTTTTTTGGATTAAAAATGAGACAAATATGTAGAATAACCACACGTAAAAAGTTTCATTATTTATAGAAATCCATCGCAGATTTAGACCATACGTGCATGTGAATTGATTTTTTAATGGTGTGTGATGACGGTAGGAATGTCGACTAATATCCATGGCGAACCCGGTTGCGCCGGGGTCGAAGGCGGTGGACGGGGCGGTCACGGCCCACGGGCGAGCCTCCAAGGACGAGAACAGCGGGTTCTCGTTCGTGAACTGTTCCATCGGCGGCACGGGACGCGTCTGGCTCGGACGAGCCTGGCGTCCCTACTCCCGAGTCGTCTTTGCATCCACCTTCATGACCGACGTTATCTCCCCCGACGGATGGAACGACCTGAACGACCCTTCTCGCGACCAGTCAGTAGAATCCAATTCAAATATTGCTATTTAGTATTTAGTATCCTTATCGAAATTACAATTAAAAAATTTATAGAAAAGCCCCTAAACTTTTGAAACATTTGAAAAATAGCCAGTAACTTTGATACTGAAGTAACGGAGTGTGCGTTTTAAATGATGAAGGACGATATTTTACGGGGAGTACAACTGTTCGGGGCCAGGAGCCGACATGACGAAGAGGGCGGCCTATGTCCAGAAGCTCAACGATACGCAGATTGCTTCTTTCATTAACACTTCCTACATCGATGGCGATCAATGGTTACAGCTTTATGATTTATAGACCTTTAACTATATATTCCAATAAAAAAAAATTTAATTCCCATTTTAATTTGCACATAAGTCGTTATTCTTTTTTTTTAAAGAATTATACAAGAATTAGAAGAATTAAGAAAATTGTAAAATACCTCATAAAACTATAAAATGTAACTCTAGTTATGGATAATTTATTATTATTGTTATCATAATGGTTGTGAAAAAGAAATTCGTCGGAAAATACTGCGAGAAGAGGGAGGAGAGAAAGAGAGCAACTTCGGAACCTCTCGTGGTTTTCCAGTTTGGCGAATCCGATCGCAGAATATGAGTAACATCGCCGGAGATTCCGACGGATACGGCGGTTCCTCCGCCGGAGATTCCAACGGCGCTCCAGCCGCCGAGACCGCTCCGCCTCCGTCTGATTGCCCCGTCCACATCTACGCCGATGGGATCTACGATCTCTTCCACTTCGGTCACGCTCGATCTCTCGAACAAGCCAAGAAATCGTCAGTATCTCTCTCTCTTTCCCCCCTTGTCGGAAGTTTTCCTAATTGCCATCTTGGTGATCGTATCTGTCTCTCTTTTTTATTTGTTGAGTTCGGACCCTCGAGAAATTTCGTCTAATCAGATAATGTTGGTGATAATTGATCCGCGTTGATTGTGAATTCGTTCAAAATTCGTGATGCACGACTCATTATTCCATGATTTTAGTGACCCTTCTTCTGTAAATGCATCAATTGTGGAATTTTGCGATAGGCAATGTAGTTGTTCCGTTCCATGTTCTTACAAAGTGCATTATTGTTTCGTTTCATTTCATTTCATTTCATTTCTTATTAGTGAAGCAGGTTTCCAAATACTTACCTTGTTGTTGGATGTTGCAATGATGAAACCACACACACGTACAAGGGCAAGACCGTAATGAATGAGAAGGAGCGATATGAATCTCTTCGGCATTGCAAGTAACTCTCTCCTATGTGTGCCGTTGTAGTATATCATCAGTCATGGCAATGGTTGGATCTTGGTTTTATACTTTTGATCATGCAGGTGGGTCGACCAGGTTATCCCTGATGCCCCTTGGGTGATTAATCAAGAGTTTCTTGACAAGCACCAGATTGACTACGTGGCCCAAGATTCTCTTCCGTAAGAACACGTTTCTTTCTTGTTATTGTCTTTTAAGACATTGATTCTGTTTTCTAAACTTTAAAAATATTGAAATGTAGGGAATATCTGTTTGACAGAGCAGTGTCTTTTCCATCTTTTGCTCCAATCTTGTTGTTTATGCTGTTCTCATACAGATTATTCTAGAAGTTCAGTAACATTTGAGAATATATTATCGACAGGTATGCTGATGCCAGTGGAGCCGGAAAGGATGTCTATGAATTCGTGAGTCTCGATTGAATGTTCACATTACCGGTTTCTCTGGCCATTCTTCTTAATATTCTCTTTCTGCTCTGATGTAACACCCATTGCAGGTGAAGAAAGTTGGGAAGTTTAAGGAAACTAAGTGAACTGAAGGGATATCTACTTCATATATAATTATGAGAATAGTGAAAGACTATAACCAGTATGTCATGCGAAATCTGGATCGAGGGTATTCAAGGGAAGATCTTGGGGTTAGCTATGTGAAGGCATGATCACCATTTCTCGACCTGTTAATCATGTAATGTTGTATAGTATATTCTCTTTGGGAGGGATTAATTATCGATCTATTGGGCTGCAACAGGAAAAGAGACTGAGAGTCAATATGAGGCTGAAGAAACTTCAAGAGAAGGTCAAAGAGCAACAAGAAAAAGTAGGAGAAAAGGTATGTCTGCGTTTCCTCTGCTTAACTACTCATTGTGTGTGTGGTTATATTGAATTTAGAGGTATTAGATATATATACTTTCCTGTGAATTTTTTTTTCCAAACACTTTTTAGATGCATGGTGATTCAACATAATTTTGGCCCTATTCCTCGTGACCCGTCTTTCCCCTCAACATTAGTCATCTTTGCTGAATTCCTCTGGCTGCAGAAATCTCCTATCTGTGGTTGATAATGCTGTCTTTGAGTCAAAACCTGGGATCGATATAAACTAACCAAGTTGAATCTAGAAATGAGTTTTTCCCTCTCGATTATCCTAATTTAATACCCAACAATCGTTTGGAATATATGCAGTGATAACTGCCCTATTTTCTCTTAACCTGATGCTTGTCCATTTCTAGTGTGGATATATTTCTTTTTTAGGAGATAATGGGAACATAGCTATCTAAAACACAATTTCTACATACAACGCAGAAGTTGTGCTTTTATATTTCTTTGTTTCGTTGTATACATTTTTACTATTTGGATAAGCAGTGGTTGAAACTTCGAGCTTACGCACTGAGTAAATCACACGTATGTACATTTACATTTGAAAGTTGCATTGTTGGTTCATACTCCAGCTGGGATTCAAGATCTGATGACCAGGAAGGATGAATGATATCCATCTTAATCTGCAGACTAATCCTATAGATGTCCTCTGCTCATACATATTCTGTTTTTTTTCCTTTGATAATTAAGTTTCCAAGTTCTAATGTCTTGTTTTTCCGTATCCCTTGTGATTCCAGATCCAAACTGTCAAACTGCTAAGGAATGAGTGGGTTGAGAACGCAGATCGCTGGATTGCTGGATTTCTTGAAATGTTTGAAGAGGGTTGTCACAAGATGGTAACCGAGATTCAGTCCACTTGAGAAAGAACACTGTTGAGCCGAAGGCAAAAATAAAATAAAAAAAATACAGATTCATGACAATATTTGAATCCGTCCTCTTTTTCTCTTTGATGACATGAAAAATCGATAATATGTTTTAGGGAACAGCCATCAGGGACCACATCCAAGAGAGGCTAAGGAGGCAACATGCTTGGAAACTGGAAAACCAGAGACGAGGATGAAACAGACGATCAATTCTACGAAGAATACTTCGACCATGACATTGATAGCGATGAAGACAGTGAAGAAGAAGAAGAATACTATGATGACGAGGAGCAGCAGACCGTGGAGAAGGATGCCAAAGAAAAAAAGTAAAGAAAAAGAAAATTCCGCCACCACATTTGGAGGTTAGTCACTTTTTCTTTTTGGGTCAGTGTGTTGGTTTATACTATCAACCTCGATATTATCTAGAAAAGGAAAGAGACAGGGTTAGTCTTAGGACATTGATCGAAGGTGTGAACTGTGAAGTAAAGGGTGGTGATCTGTTTTGATAGTTAGAAAGAAAACAATATCTCTTCTTGAATGAAAGATAAGAAACCTCTAGATGACCCAATTTGGGCAACTCGACCGTTGAAATGGAGGTGCAAAACATGTGTTCCATCTCGAATTCTAATCTCAAATTGGAGAGAGGAAAGCAAATTCTAATCACATGACTTGATCTCGGTTTCGAGATTAGTTTGGATCTCGATCTAGATATCCGGTTACCAAAAAAAAAACTCCAGATGAAAATGTTACAAAACCTAATTATTAGGACGATTTTGATAAGTGAACAATGGAAAATATGGAATTCATGTTGTCTTACCGCTTGTAAATGCGGCACGGTTAATAACACATATTTTGTTGGCATCTACGTCGTATATAAATAAAATGAAATGTAATGGGAGTGTATTTAATTAATTGGGGACGCAAGATTTGGTCAGACCAAGTTTGCTTTAACAATTACATTCAATAATAGTTTACCTTAGCGGGAGTATTATTTTGTGTTGGGGTTTTTGTAACCACAATTTTGCTTCCTTTGAGTGTGTGTGTTTTCCATTGGATGAAATAAAAATTCACGTTACACAAAAAGGAAGAAAAAAAATACATACAGACCAATCCGTACATATGAATATTTATATTTCCTTGGTGTGACGAAATTGTAGGATCCTAAGGTTCGGATCTTGCGACCATGCAGATGAGATCTGATTACACATTTCTAACGTCCAATGGCTATTTATTCGTCGTCAACCTAACTGGAAAATAATTACTGTCTTGATCCCGTAAATCTACACAAATCGAAATGTGGAAGTTCTCAATTAACTTGAAAATTATTTTAAATTTTTTTTAAAAAAACTTACGTTACTCTAACGCTAGATGAGATATGGTCACACAATTTCTAACATTGAATGGTTATTTATTCCTAGTAAACTAAACTTCAATATAGTTACTAAGTAAATGTAAACACAAATCCAAATGTGAAATCTATAGCTAGACTTGATTTTTTTTTAAGTAGGGAAACACGATGGCAAAAAAGATATGCATGTAATTAAGTAATTCAATAAGCTCTCATCTTTTCTATGCGTCAAGGCAAATGACAACTTTCTCTTCAGACAACAGAGAAATGGGTCTTTTCCGGTCTTCTTTGAAATGTCATTACCCTTCCTCATCTTCCTCGGTCGCTGCCCCAATGAAAAAGTTCATACATTTGTCCATCTTCGCGGTCGTGATTTACATTCTCGTTCCGTTCTCTCGGCTTCGGTCTCTTGAGAGATTCTACGCCTATGACTTTCACACGCCGACACAGCTCGATCATATCGTGTTCGGGATCGGATCGAGCAAGAGCACGTGGCCTAGTCGAAGAGATTACGCTAAGCTTTGGTGGGATCCTCACAAAATGAGAGGTTGTGTTTTCGTTGAAGCTCCTTTACGAAAGAATGCCACTGACTCTCATCTTCTTCCTCCTCTTTGCGTCTCTGAGGACACTTCCCGGTTCAAGTAAGCTCGACATCGTTACCATTAGTAACTCGTAAGTTAATTGAAAAGTTTAAAAATTTGCCAGTGTTTGCTTTGAGGTGCTATATGTATATCGACCTCTGTACAGGTATACTTGGAGAGGGGGCCATAGATACGCGATACGCATTGCTCGGACCGTTCTAGAAACTGTAAGGCTCTTCAACAGTTCTTCAGACATCAGGTGGTATGTGTTCGGGGACGATGACACGATATTTATCCCCAATAACTTGGCGAAAACGCTCTCGAAGTATGATCATACGTTATGGTATTACATAGGGTCGAACTCCGAGATTTATGGACAGAACTCGTTTTTCGGTTTCAATATGGCATTTGGAGGAGGTGGGTTCGTGTTGAGCTCCTCACTAGCTAATGTTGTCGCAAAAGTCTTGGATTCTTGCATCGAACGATACCCGCATCTCTATAATTCAGACGGACGGATTTACTCATGCTTGGCCGAGCTTGGAGTCGGTTTGTCCCATGAACCGGGATTTCATCAGGTGAGAAGGCCGGTTTAGCTTTTCGGTTTAGATTTGATTGAGTACCCAATTCATATGTAGTATATTAACATAACAACACACGATCTTATATATGTGTAGCTTGATGTGAGGGGAAATGCGTTAGGACTATTGATGTCACATCCCATAAGACCGTTGGTGTCTTTGCACCACATGGCCCATATGGACCCAATCTTCCCCAACTCAACCACCGTCGCCGCTATCCGTCACCTCTTCAGTGCCGTGGCCGTGGACTCGGCTCGCATCCTCCAGCTCTCCGTCTGCTACGACCGTCGGTTTTCTTGGACCATCTCTGTCTCTTGGGGTTATGCCGTACAGGTGGTACTCCATTTCACTTTTGTTTTTATTAAGTTTTGAATTTGTTCCCGCCCATTATGGTAGTCGTTATTGTTATAACATATGATCAAATAAAAATGTGAATGATGACAGATACATGGTCAGTATATGCTTCTACCGGATGTTTTGTCGGCTCAAGAGACGTTCAAACCATGGAAACCGAACCAGGATGCATCGTCCAGGCTTTACAACTTCAACACTCGAGAGATTCATCCGGATCCTTGCCAAAGACCCGCAACGTATTACATGGAAAATGTCTCGTTCACGCAATATGGATCAATTCAAAGTGTTTATAAGAAAACATACGAGAATTGCACTTATGAGCCGAATTCATCACCGAGGAAGTTTGATGAAATCAGAGTCTTCTCCGAGAAATCTGACCCAAACATTAGACAAGTAAGTTATCATGATTCATGATTGACTATAAAGGACCAATCTCAATCATTTGCTTTGTTTACTTTGTTTTTTTGTCGAATCCGTTGATTGTGGCAGTTAAAGGCTCCAAGACGACAGTGCTGTGACATATTACATGGAGATGGCAAAGTAATGGAAATTGGCATCCGAGAATGCAACGAGAATGAGCTCATCTATATGCATCCTTAGTTCTTTTAACATATATATATATATATATATATATATATATATACATATATATATTCTCCATGTTCATGGCTGTTGAGTGGATTATGAACTCTGGTTGATATCGAGAGAACAGTACCTATTTTCTAGTATTTGCCAGCCGATAATTTTGTTCACCATACTGAGAAAGAAATGACCATTGTTTATTTTTTAAACTCGACAGGTAATAAATTCTTGTAAATATAAAAACGTTAGAAGTATGTGTGATCTAAGTTGGAGCATATGTTTTGTTGGTGTCTGACTAAAAATGAGATGTCATGTAATGAAATGGCATGCAATACTTCCTTCATCATACCTGATACAACCACGTTATAAGACTAAAGATTTTCAAATTTTCGCCTCTTTTGTATTTTCCATGTTGGATGAAATTTAAAACTCACATTACACAAAAAAAAAAAAAAAACAATAAAAATCAGAAGCGATAAGTGTATATGAATGTCTATATTTGTATACCATGGCAAAATTATAAGATTTTACTGTTTGGATCTTGTGACAATGCACGTGTCCAAAACATCGAACCATACGTTACTCCAACGCTGAATGAGACAAGGTTACACATTCAATGGTAATTTATTCCTCGTAAACTTCACTAAAAAAGTAGTTATATAGTACACAAATCCAAATGTGAAATCTCCAAACTTGAAAATTATTTTTAAGAAAAAGGTGGGAAAGTTGTCACAACAAGGCATGCATTTAAGTAACGTTTAATATAATCTTTCATTTTCGCCTATGGGTCAAGACAAATGGGGCCCTTAGGGTTATTTTCGAAAACCCATTACTCTTCCTCATCTTCCTCGGTCGCTGCCCCAATGAAAACGTTCATACTAATTTCCATCTTCCTGGTCGTGGTTTACATCCTCGTTCCGTTCTCTCGGCTTCGGTCTCTCGAGAGATTCTACGCCCATGGCTTTCACACGCCGACACGGCTCGATCATATCGTTTTCGGGATCGGATCGAGCAAGAACACGTGGCCTAGTCGAAGAGACTACGTTAAGCTCTGGTGGGTTCCTCGCAAAATGAGAGGTTGTGTTTTCGTTGAAGCTCCTTTACAAGAGAATGCCACTGATTCTCACCTTCTTCCTCCTGTTTGCATCTCCGAGGACACTTCCCGGTTCAGGTATATATATATGCCCATACTCGTTGGTTGATTGTTATGTTCTTGAATTATTCATGTTTGATTCGGATCACTGTGTATATATCGATCTCTGTATAGGTACACTTGCAGAGGGGGTCATAGATCGACGATACATGTAGCGCGGTCCGTCCTAGAGATCGTAAGGCTCTTCAACAGCTCTTCGGACATCAGGTGGTACGTGTTCGGGGATGACGACACGATATTTATCCCCGAGAACTTGGCGAGAACGCTCTCGAAATATGATCATACGTTGTGGTATTACATAGGGTCGAACTCCGAGATTTATGGAAAGAACTCCTTTTATGGATTCCATATGGCATTCGGAGGAGGTGGGTTCGTGTTGAGCTCCTCGCTTGCTAATGTTCTCGCCAAGGTCCTAGATTCTTGCATCGAACGGTACACACATCTCTGCGGAGGAGACGGTCGGATTTACTCTTGCTTGGCCGAGCTTGGAGTCGGTTTGTCCCATGAACCGGGATTTCATCAGGTGAGAAAACCGGTTAAGCTTTCGGTTTGGATTTGAGTACCCAATTCATAGAATATCAACAATATACGAATCTTGTGTATGTGTAGCTTGATGTGAAGGGAAATGGGTTGGGACTATTGATGTCGCATCCGATGAGACCGTTGGTGTCTTTGCACCACATGGCCCATATGGACCCAATCTTCCCCAACTCACCCACCGTCGCCGCCGTCCGCCACCTCCTCAGTGTTGCGGCTGTGGACTCGGCTCGAATCCTCCAACTCTCCGTCTGCTATGACCGGCGATTCTCTTGGACCATCTCTGTGTCTTGGGGCTATGCCGTACAGGTGTACTCCATCCACTTTTGTTTTTACTGAGTTTTATCCATTGTTGATTGTTGTAACGATGAAATAAAATGTGTGAAATGTGAATGATGATGATAGATACATGGCCGACATATGCTTCTACCTGATGTCTTGCCGGTTCAAGAGACGTTCGAGCCATGGAACCCGAACCAGAATGCATCGTCGAGGCTTTACAACTTCAACACTCGAGAGATTCATCCCGATCCTTGCCATAGACCCGCAACGTATTACATGGAAAATGCCTCGTTCACAGGAGATGGATCAATACGAAGCCTCTACAAGGCGAAAGCTTATGAGAATTGCACGTCCGATCTGATTTCATCGCCGTGGAAGTTCGAAGAAATCATAGTGTTCTCCAAGAAATATGATCCCAACATTCAACAAGTAAGTTATATATAGCGATTCATTATTCGATTATCATATGGACTCACCTCTAAAATTCACTTGTTCACATGTTTTTGCTGTATTCATTGATTGCAACAGTTGAAGGCTCCAAGAAGGCAGTGCTGTGATATATTACCTTCAAGAAATGGCGGCAAAATCATGGAGATTGGTATCAGAGAATGCAAGGACGATGAGCTCATCTATATGCGCCCTTAGTTTTGCTAAACAACACGTTATTTATTGTTATTCAACCTGCCATTTTCTTATATATAATTAACGACCACACTTGCACCATTGAAGCATACCAAAATCAAACCGAAACCGAAAAAGCTAATTATACTAGAGAGATCAAATTTAAACCAATTAGTTCTTCTATCAACAGAAAATTTTGTTCTATTTTCGGTTTAACCGATCTGTAACTGATAAGGTATGTCAGATCATAGAATGGAGAAGAAGCAAGAAGTAGCTGAAAACCAGAAAAAGCTTTTGGCTCAAAAAAGGAGGTATCAGAAACCTCGGTTAGAGAAAGAAGGTTCCAGGATATAACGACGTCGTCTTCATTTCTCGGAATAACAAACTCAGGGGCAAGATGGTAAATCTGGGGGAAGATTCAAATCTGAAGATTGCGGCAACAAAGAAACGGTCAGAAGAAATCGGAACAATCAAGATCATGGCAAGTCAGATGCATAAGCTTGATGTGGAAAGATTTGACGGAAAAGGTGATTTCGTACTCTGGAAAGAAAAGGTGTTCATCGGTTTGGAAATCATGGGTCTAGCAGATACACTGACAGATGATCCAAGCAAATGGGAAACTGATTCTCAAGGGGATAAGGATTTAGACTCAAGATCCTTGGAAAAGATGCAGGATCCAGCAAATGTGTCGACTGATACCTCAGAACCTGAGGTGTCATCTACTCCAACTATAGGTCAAACCGGAAGATCAATAGGAGGAGATATGAGAATCCAGATTCCATATACAAGGGTTGAAAGAAGTAAAAGGGCGAGAAATCTGATCGTCCTGTGTCTGTCAGACCAGATTCTAAGGAAAGTAATACATGAGAAAACGACATTTGGAATCTGGAATATGCTGGAGAAACTTTATTTGGAACAATCACTTCCAAACAGAATGTACTTGTTGCAACGATTGTCAGGATTCGGGATGGATGAGGGAAAATCGATAGAAGAAAACCTTGACGTTTTCCAGAAGCTGCTATCAGATCTTCAAAATCTTCAGGTCAAGGTTGAAGACGAATATCAAACGGTGTACCTACTGAATTCTCTTCCTCCTCCTTATGAACAACTTCGGGAAGTCCTGAAGTACTCTAGAACATCCATCACAGCTGAAGAAGTGAAGGCTGCAGCAAGATCCAAGGAATTAGAATTGTTGTCACAAGGAAAGAACAATAAAAATAGCGCTGAAGGGTTAACAGTCAGAGGAAGATCTGAACACAGAGAAAATTCCGGAAACAAAAAGGGAAAATCGAGGTCAAAATCGAGAACCAAAGGGGAATGCTGGTACTGTGGGAAGAAGGGTCATTACAAGAAAGACTGTTACTCCAGAAAGAAGGCACAAAATCAAGGACAACCCGAAAAAGGAGAGTCCGCAAATGTAAAGGGAAACCTGTCAGAATCCGAAGTGCTAAATATGCAAGAAATGGAAAGCTTGTCTCTGATAGAAAAGAAATGTTGAAGAAGAATGGATTCTGGACTCCGGGTGTACATTCCATATGACGCCCAGAATAGACTGGTTCACAACATTCACAGTCTCAGGCTTGGGAAAAGTAAGGATGGGAAACAACGCTACCTGCAATATCATGGGGATGGGAGATATAAAGCTTCAGACGCATGACGGATCTACAATCATGCTGACTCAGGTAAGGTATATTCCCGAACTGAGAAGAAACGTAATCTCCCTTGGTTCTTTGGAATTGCAGGGATGCTGGTATAAATCTAAGGAAGGAACCCTGAAGATCATTAAGGGTTGCAGAACAGTACTAAAAGGAAAACTTCATCAAGGACTATATGTCCTAGAAGGAAAAACCATCCTAGGAGACTCTCACCAAGCAGAAGTCACCAAAGATGAGACAGCCCTATGGCATAGCAGGCTCGGACATATGTCATTAAAGGGAATGGAAGTCTTAGCCAAGAAAGGCTTAATTCCAGGTAATCAGATCTCCACTTTAGACTTTTGTGAAAACTGTGTATTTGGTAAATCTCACAGGATTGCGTTCGGGACGGGAAAACATACATCAAAGGGAGTCCTGGATTATGTGCATTCTGACTTGTGGGGATCATCACATGTTCCTCCGTCACTGTCAAAATGCCAATATTTCATGACCTTTATCGATGACTACTCAAGAAAGGTATGGATTTATTTTCTAAAAACTAAAGATGTTGCATTCGATAGTTTTGTAGAATGGAAAAATCTTGTTGAGAACCAAACAGGAAAAAGGTTGAAGACCCTACGAACTGACAATGGTCTAGAGTTCTGCAATTACAAGTTTGATCAGTTCTGTAAAGAAGGTGGAGTTCAAAGGCATAAAACGTGCACATACACCCCTCAGCAAAATGGTGTTGCTGAGAGAATGAACAGAACAATAATGGAAAAAGTCAGAGCACTGCTAAGTGAATCCGGCCTTGGACAACAGTTCTGGGCAGAGACGGCCTCAACCTGTGTGTACCTGATAAACCGCTCGCCATCAACTGCTATCAACCTAAATGTACCAGATGAACTCTGGTATGGAACTAAACCAGGATATACTCATCTTAGGAGATTTGGATGTACTGCATATGTACATACGAACCAAGGGAAGACAATGCCAAGAGCAAAAAGAGGCATCTTTATCGGGTATCCTAGAGGAGTAAAAGGATATAAGGTCTGGTTACCAGAAGAAAAGAAGCTTGTGATAAGCAGGGATGTAAAGTTCAATGAAAATCAACTGCATAAGGATCTACCAAAGGAGCCACAAAGAGCAGAAACAGAAGGAATAACACGGCCAGATGTCATACAGTTGCCATTAATACAGGAGAAGGAAAACACTGAAAGGCACAGGGATCAAGGTGGAGCTCAACAGGAGAAGGAAGAAGCTCTACAGAAAGAGTCAGAAAAGGCAGATTCATCAGACGAAGAACAACAGATATGCACAAGGGAGCTGACTGACCAAGAAGAATACCTTGAAGAACCAGGAAATTTAACAGATTATCAACTGGCTAGGGACAGAGAGAGAAGAATGATAAAACCTCCTTCCAGATATGATGAATCCGACATTGTAGCGTTTGCATTCATATCAGCAAAAGCTCTAGAAGTGGAAGAGCCAAAAACATACTCAGAAGCAACAAGGAGTAAGGAATGGAAGATGTGGAAAGCTGCTATGATAGAGGAGATGGAGTCACTAAGGCAGAATGAAACCTGGGTTCTCACAGACAAACCAACAGGGAAGAAAGTGATTGGCTGCAAGTGGGTATTGAAGTTAAAACCAGGAATACCAGGTGTAGAAAAGCCAAGATTTAAAGCTAGATTGGTAGCTAAGGGTTTTTCACAGGTGGAAGGCATCGACTACACAGAGATCTTTGCACCAGTGGTGAAGCACGTTTCCATCCGGGTTCTATTATCATTGGTGGTTTATCATGATTTAGAACTCGAGCAAATGGACGTCAAAACAGCATTTCTACACGGAACTTTGGAGGAACAAATATTCATGCAACAGCCAGAAGGTTTCATTGAAAAAGGAAAAGAGCATCTAGTATGCCTACTAAAGAAGTCCTTATATGGACTAAAGCAATCTCCGAGACAATGGAATCAGAGGTTTGATGCTTTCATGCACGAAAGCAAGTTCACTAGAAGTAATTTTGATCCATGTGTCTACTTTAAACATCTACAGGATGGTGCAAGCATATATCTGTTGATATATGTCGATGATATGCTAATAGCATCCAAAAATCTGGCAGAAATCAAGAAACTAAAGACAGAATTAGGAACAGCATTTGAAATGAAGGATCTCGGGCCAGCAAAGAAGATTCTTGGCATGACAATCATGAGAGACAGAATTGCAGGACGTTTATGGCTGACACAGAATGAATACATTCAGAAAGTTATCCAGACATTTGGAATGGAACAAGCAAAGACAGTAAGTACCCCTCTGGGTGCCCATTTCAAACTGTGTTCAAAGAAAAATGCAGAGGACACAAGTGAAGAGTTCAAAGAGCTGGTGCCATATGCAAATGCCGTAGGTAGCATTATGTATGCTATGATAGGCACAAGACCAGACCTTGCCTATCCAGTAGGTGTAGTGAGCAGGTTCATGAGCAAACCAGAGAAGGAGCACTGGAACGCAGTAAAGTGGGTGTTAAGATATCTGAAAGGGTCAGAAAACCTGTGTTTGAACTACATCAGAGGAACAGAACTAAGGGTAAAAGGCTATTGTGACTCAGACTATGCTGCGGATCTGGACAAAAGAAGATCCATATCAGGTTACATTTTCAAAGTTGGAGGAAATGTAGTTAGCTGGAAATCATGCCTCCAACATGTTGTAGCACTTTCAACTACGGAAGCTGAATATATGGCTCTCACAGAAGCCATAAAAGAAGGTTTGTGGCTGAAAGGGCTGATGGAAGAACTGGGTTACAGACAAGAATCAGTCACAGTGTTTTGTGACTCACAGAGTGCCATAAATCTGTCCAAGAACAGTGTACACCACGAAAGAACCAAGCACATTGACATCAGGCTTCATTTCATTCGAGATATGATTGCACAAGGTACTGTCAAAGTGTTGAAAATACACACAGAGGAAAATCCAGCAGACGCACTCACAAAAACAATCTCTATCAGCAAGTTCAAAAAGATTCTGGACTTGCTGAGGCTGACAGAAAAATGATGAAGTCAGGAAGAAGGAAAGGGTAAGGATTCTCGGACTGGTATGATCTGACAAGGTGGAGAATTGATAAGGTATGTCAGATCATAGAATGGAGAAGAAGCAAGAAGTAGCTGAAAACCAGAAAAAGCTTTTGGCTCAAAAAAGGAGGTATCAGAAACCTCGGTTAGAGAAAGAAGGTTCCAGGATATAACGACGTCGTCTTCATTTCTCGGAATAACAAACTCAGGGGCAAGATGGTAAATCTGCAGGAGGGCTAGTTATGCGCATATAAAGCAGAGTCTGGTGTTCGTCATCAAGAACTTCTTCCGCCATTGTTAATGTGATTCGAAGCTTTGTAATCGCATTGTAATCTCAAGAGAAACAGAGAATAAAATCCCTTTCCTTCCCGAGACGTAGGATTGAACACAACGTTCAATCTGAACTCGTTAACTCTCCGTGTCAAATTCGCTTCTCTTTCTCAATTTGTTTCTTTGGCAAATTCACATTCGAATCAGAAGAACTAGGGTTCAAATTACCAGAGTAACATTGTTTCAAACCAAGTTTAACCGAACAGAAATTTGACCCAAGATAGGATAAAAACCAAGCTGATCACTTCTATCATGCAAGAGGATTAGGTGAGTATCTGATATAAATAAGATTCTAATCTTCTATTTCACGAAAGATTATTGTACTTAATCTTTGGAGAATTTCGACAATTATCCACGAACGTGCGTTCCACGCGCACATGCAGTAGAGCATGTATCGCCATTGTCAACACCTACATGCAAACTTATATATAATGACAATTTGGATTATAAATTTCGAGTTCAGAATCAATAATCCAAGAAACTATACGAATATTTGGCCCACCTGCATATTTCCGGAAACATCCATGACAAAAAGCATCTGCAACTTGGCTTCGTGCTCCGGTGTTTCCATTTGCAGGCCAATTCATACATGATATATCAATTGAGACACAAAGGCCAATTGGTTATTTTTAGTAGAACAGTATTGATGAGTTCTTGATTCTCTTGCTTAAACTCGATCTATAAATTTCCCGAGATCTTTCATCTTCAATCTTCACCCCCGATCGAGCTCGTTCCAAACATTTTTTTCCCTGCTCATGTTTCGAACTGCAGAGAAAATGGCGACGAAGAGCATTCTTGCGGCTCTAGTTCTACTGAGCATTCTTGGAACTTCGGCAGCCAAGCCATGGGGATTGAAGCTCGATTACTACCGGTCCAAGTGTCCTGACGCAGAAGCCGTTGTCCAAAGAGTGACGTACCAATACGTTTCCCGACAGCCAAGTCTTGCTGCTGGGCTTCTCAGGATGCATTTCCATGACTGTTTTGTCAGAGTATGCCTCTTTCTTTACTGTATTGTATGTATGTATATACGTTCGTTGCGGGGTGTAGCATGAAGCCCTCATGATTCTTTTCTTACGTTTATATCTCTCAAGGGATGCGACGGTTCTGTTCTTCTGAAATCTCCAAATAAAGACGCGGAGAGAGATGCTATTCCGAATCTGTCCCTGAGAGGCTATGAAGTGGTAGACGCCGCCAAGTCAGCGCTCGAAAAGAAGTGTCCGGGTGTCGTTTCTTGCGCTGACGTTATTGCTTTGGTTGCCAGAGACGCTGTCTCGGTGGTACTGTACCTTCACACTGTCTGATTCTTTAATTTCTTTCTATTCGTTCAATCAGATTATTACTGACATAACATTCTTTGACTTTGTGTTCGGTTCTTTCCGTGTCTTTCAGATCAGAGGACCGTACTGGCCGGTTCCATTGGGTCGGAGAGATGGGCGTGTCTCTAAGGCATTAGAGGTTTTCACCAATTTACCGTCTCCATTCGCTAACATAGCCGTTCTTAAGCAGAATTTTTTGGCAAAGGGTCTCAACGTTAAAGACCTCGTCGTCCTCTCAGGTAAATTCTTGCAAACAATCCACACTAATTTTGTAGAAATCCATCGCAGAAGTTTACTTAAAATATAATAACAGTGAACTTTGATGTTTCAGAATCTTTTAGTATATACTGTCTGAAGCTGAAACTACGGTGTGCTTCTATACAGGAGGTCACACCATTGGGATCTCCCACTGCAGCATCATCCACAATCGTCTCTACAACTTCACGGGAAAAGGCGACTTTGATCCTTCCATGAACCCTAGCTATGTCAGGACATTGAAAAAACGGTGCAATCCCAACGATTTCGCGACAATAGTGGACATGGACCCAGGCAGTGTCAAGAACTTCGACTCTCACTATTTCAACGTCGTGGCTCAGAAGAAAGGTCTGTTCACGTCTGACGCCACTCTTCTCGATGACCCTGAGACCAAAACCTACGTCGAGACGCAGGTCTCAACCGGTGGATCTTCCTTTGCCAGGGATTTCTCCGACTCCATGATCAAGCTTGGCTTCACCCAAGTTCTTACCGGCAAGGCCGGTGAGATCAGGAAGAAATGTGCTTTCGTTAACTAAGTATGTTCCGATCCATAAATGTGTGTATTTTCTCGAGGATTTCCGATTTGGATCTCATAATCGTTGGTTTGAACTCTGATGAAGTTGTTCTTGTTTGCTTTCGACATGTTTTTTTTTGTCTCTGAGGAATAAGACAGAACTGTAATCTCTGGGCGGTCTGAATATTAACTCCAGTAGGTTATTTTTCTTCTTTGGAGGTTTCTTGATCTACAAGAAACATGGCTATGAACAGATCTGGGACAAGAATCCATGATGTTTTTGGATTGTGCGATGCGGACACTTGGTGGGTTTCTAAACGACTAATATAAAAGGGCGACAATTGATATCATTCCATCAGTAAAAGAATATTAGTTACAGTTAAGGCCATGCACTTGAATAGCTCATATACATTAAGATGTAAGGGCACAACTATTGTATAAGAGAAGCTCTCTTATACTTCAGATTTCATTCAGATCCGAAATCTATATCTAATTATATAATCTCGGAGATTGAAGAAAGGCAGCAAACGTACCAAAAAATGTGAATGAAAATCAATCGTAAAATGTTAGTTTTATTCATTATTGTCATCAACATCACCTTCTTCATCTTTTGCTACCGTTTCTTTCTCACCATCTCCATTGCCTTTCGCTTCCTTTTCTCCATCTTCTGCTCCATTCCCCTCTTCTCCTCCTCCTCCTCCTCCTCCTCCTCCCTCTTTCGCTTCACTTTCGTCAACTTCCTCTTCGTTCTTCTCCTCATCATCTCCTTGATTTGAAGCCACTTCTTCGTCTCTCTTCGCTCCTTCATGATCCTTATCCACTTCCATTTCATCATCCCCTTCTTCTTCTTCTCCTCCTTTCCCCCTTCTCAATTGGGTTTTGGCGAGGACATCCTCCTCCGTAGCGGCATTCTCTTCGCGAGAAACCAGATCAAGATGCTTGAAAAACAGATACATGTGAGACCCATCACTCACGCCCAGATCCAGAAGCGAAACCTCGTCCTCGTAATCCATCACGACTCGTCTGCTCTCGTTTTCGCCCACCAAAAGTATCAGTCTTTTTGCCGGCAAATTCAGCTCCGCCGCTATCTCCTCCTTCAGATTCCTCACCGTCGCGTTCTCGCTCACTTCTTTGACCATGTACGTCCCCGTTACTATCTCCACCGTCACCTTCATCATCGTCGCCGGAAGAAAAAAAAAGTTTTTTTCTTTTTCTTTTTTTTTTTGGTAATTCAATTGAAGGGCGAAGGGAAGTTAACCCTAAGACTTTGTATAGATGAAGAAGAGATTCATGTACGTTGTGTGTGTTCGCTTGTACTCGATGCAGAGTTTGTTCATACCAAACGTATCAAGAGTCAAAAGACTAATTTGCATAAAGATTATCATTTATTATATCAATTAAATATAAAATATTTCTTATTTAATGAATTAATTATTTTCTTTGCATCGGTTTCGCGAGGAAAGAAATGAAAATCTTTTAACAAGGGATTTAGTTTAAGCAAATATCTCGCCATCAGATTTATACACATCTAACAAAGCTCTCCTCAAGTTTAGGAAACCTCTAAGATTTAATGGATATATATATATATGGCATGTACATAACCTTATTAATCAACAGTAATTAATGCGGTCGTCACAAAAATAATGTCTTTAAAATGTAGAATGACAAATATTTTGAAACATGGAAAATAACCTAAAACTACAAATATTTTGAAAACGGAGGGAGTAATAATAATAATAAATGGTTCATTATTTCCTTGGCTTATTTGGGCACCCTTCCATTGGTTTCGTTTACTTAGACGTGATATTTGGACATTTATGAGTAAACCTTCAAATTCAGTTTGCAAAAATCACGCAAAAAATCATGTATTAATGGATTCGGTTAATTAAATTTAACGAATTATATATAATTGGTGTTTAGAATCTATTGGATTAAAATAATTTGACACGTTCGATTAAATATTCGAATAGAAATGATCACTTCTACAAAATAGTATTTTAGAGGTTCATGTAAATAGCGTTTTCTTTGTACGGCCTTGCCACAAGTTTGTTATGAAGGACCGTTTTCTTTGGTATGTTATTTCCAACCTGTATCACTTAAAAGTTGAAATTATATCCAATAAAAATTCATGTAATTTTCCGATATAATTATTTCGTAACTATTTTACCTCATTTTTATTTACTTGAATATTTCAACGGTACTATTTTATCTCATTTTTATATACTTTTTGTTTCTTATAAAAAAAAGACGGTGTTTAACTGTTTATATATATATATAGATATAGATATATATCATTTTTTCTATTAAAAAAAAGAAAGAAAAAAGAAGGTGCCTCATTTTTTTTTATCTGGGCCATCTTCAAAGTGTTATGGGCTTTCAACCTTTGTTGGGCTTTATGCCCAAGAACTTGGTTCGACCGGAATACCACGTTAACCGAATCGTGTCAAGCCATATCACGCGGTTCGGTTAATAGATTTAACCAAATCGTACCGGAATTTGACCAAAATCATCTTTTTCTTTCTTTCTTTCTTTGGAGTTTGGACTCTCCTCTGAGAAGCCAACCAGTGAAAGTACGAGGAGAAGCTTGAAGAAGAGCCGACAATGGCGGTGGCGGAGCCGAAAACAAAGTACGATCGTCAACTCAGGTAAATTCCTCTGGACCTCGAATTCGGGTGCTCTTTGTATTATTCCAATTGATCTTCGTTCGTATGGTATATAAAGTATTTTTCGTGAAACGATGACGGTGAAGTAAGCGGGATTTTGAGATCGGAGGGGGGTGATGGAAAATTTTGCAGGATTTGGGGAGAAATAGGGCAAGCGGCTCTGGAAGAGGCGAGCATCTGTTTGCTAAATTGCGGTCCCACTGGCACCGAGGCGTTGAAGAACCTCGTCCTGGGAGGAGTCGGTAGTATCACTGTTGTCGACGGATCCAAAGTCGAAATCGGAGACCTCGGAAACAATTTCATGGGTACCATTCTCCTGCGTTCATCTATGTGTCTGTGTATTCATATCTTCGTCGTTTGTGTACATTCCGTCCTTGTTCCGTGCTTTGCTTTCTCTGGAAATGGCGATTGTCTTGTTCAGTGGACGAGGCGAGTGTTGGACAGTCAAAAGCCAAGTGTGCATGTGCATTTCTTCAAGAGCTGAATGATGCTGTCAAGGCTAAGTTCATTGAGGAGCATCCGGAGACACTGATACGAACAAACCCATCTTTCTTCTCTCAGTTCACCCTCGTAGTGGCTACTCAGGTATGGCGGTAAAATCCTTAACCTTCTTTAGAAGAAACATGTAATTGCAAGGTCCTGTTTCAGTTATATTCTTTCACTTAGATATGAAGAAAGTTCTTTTCTTTTTTGTTGGAATTTGCTTGTAGCTGTTGGAAGATTCGGTGGTCAAACTTGACAGAATCTGTCGAGAAGCAAATGTCATGTTGGTTTTTGCTCGATCCTATGGCCTTACTGGTCTTGTTCGTATTAGTGTAAAGGTAACATCTTCCTTGATTCAATTTTCATCAGAGAAATGATGTATTCTTCTCTTCTCTTGGAGTTGAGTGTTACCAGTGGTATGCAGTGGTTAGGGCATTAGCCTTCGGACTGGTGCTAAGTCTTATTTTTTCTTGTTCATCAGGAGCACACTGTAGTTGAGTCAAAGCCTGATCATTTTCTTGATGACCTCCGTTTGAATAATCCATGGCCTGAACTTAAGAGGTACATCGCTTTCCTTTTTCAGTCGTGTTGGCATCTTTCATCCTTGTGAAAGGGCCATGGAGTAATGAGTAAACTTTTGTTTATTTTGGAGCAAGGCATGAAGACTTTTTTTTTCTGGTTTTGGTGGTATAACATTGTGAATGGGCAATTAGGTGGTATGAGTAATTTTTTTATTCATTACATTGCAGGTTTGTTGAGACGAGTGATCTAAATGTACCAGATCCTATCGTCCATAAGCACATACCCTATGTTGTCATTCTTGTCAAATTAGCTGACGAATGGGCACAAACCCATGGTGGTAACCTTCCCTCGACAAGGGAAGAGAAAAAGGAGTTTAAGGTGTAGTTCTCTTTCTATTTTTTGGTTTCTTAGCATAATCTTTACCTTTTCATGTTTTTCTTTACCTCAATCTAATTTATCTTTCTCCATCTTGAAATCTTAGGATTTGATTAAGTCCAAGATGATATCAATGGACGAAGATAATTTCAAAGAAGCCATTGAAGCTGCCTTCAAAGTGTTTGCTCCCCGAGGAATTAGTAAGAGTATCTCTCATATTGTGTGGATTGAGATTGTATACAGAATTTGGCATCCCTCTATATGTTGAAAAATATTAAATTCGTTGGATAATGGCAAGAGTAAGACACCTGACTAAGGGTTAACTTTTATATTGAGTGCCGTTTGCTATCTCATGTAGCTTCATTTTAGTTTGAATTTAAGGTGGCAGATCTGAAATAGGGGTTAGCATTTAATTCAACCTGTTTTGTAAGTAAAGTAACACATACTCAGCTGTCAAATTACTATATTTCTTACATCGAACATCAACACATTTCTGCTACAGGCTCAGAGATTCAACAAATCATTGATGATAGTTGTGCTGAAGTCAATTCTAGTTCCTCAGATTTTTGGGTGATGGTAGCAGGTCTGAAGGTTAGTGAGTTGAAAACCGTCTTCATGCTAAATCTTGTACTTCCATGCTCAAAGCCTCAAAGTTAGAAATGCAATTGGCTGAATATGTTTGTGTCATGCTGTGCAATACTCCTTTGCTAGGGCTTTAAAGAATTTTGGAACTTGTCATGTTTTGATAAATCATTTGTTTTATTTGACTGCCACTCCTGTGGGTCTGAAATTGGCACTCTCATACAAGCCAAACTTTTGCTACCGTTTGGAACATCATTTAACAAGATAACGGGAACAACTCATCAAGAGATTTTACTTGTGAAGAAATTGTAAACTTGACAAGATTTGGGGGCCTGCATATTAGGGTTCAGTATATTAGAGTAGTTTCTTATTTTTTAGTTGTATATTTAAAAAATTTTATGGGCACAATTGCTATAATCTCTTGTGGCAGTTATTCCTCAAATTATTGCACGTGTCTTTTTGGTGAAACTCAATGTTGCAGAAGAAAGTAGCTGCAGAATTCTTAAAATTTATGATCCTTTAGCTGATGGGTAAAATATTCTTGTGAATGTTACCTGGTTTCTGCTTGTCCTGCACATGGTTGTGACCATACTGATTATGTACCACCTGCAGGAGTTCATTTCAAACGAAGGTTGTGGGGAAGTCCCACTTGAAGGCTCCATACCGGATATGACATCTTCAACAGAGTTAGTTTTCCTGCTCTAGAGATTACTTGAGTTTAATTCTCTATATATAGTCAGAATCAGGTAACCATATAGCTGTATTATTTCTTTTTCAGGCACTATATCAGTTTGCAGAAAATCTACCAAACCAAAGCTGAGGCTGATTGTCTTGTCATGGAGCAAAGGGTTCGAAACATTCTAAAGAAAATCGGTCGAGATCCAAGTAGCATCTCAAAACCAACTATCAAGAGCTTCTGCAAGAATGCTAGAAAACTCAAAGTGAGATTGCTAACTTTTTTTTTGCCTTTCACTTAATATTTTTTTTTTATGTTAGTGCTCAACCGTGCGTATATCCTGTTACACTGTTATGGTTTTTCAGTTCTTAAATTATTCTGCCAAATTATAAATCTTTTCTTTTGGTTTAAAAGAGTTATCAGAATTGTATTCTTCCAACATTTGCCTTGTAGGTATGTAGGTATCGCATGATAGAGGACGAGTTCAGTAATCCTTCAGTAACCGAGGTGCAAAAGTATTTGACTGACGAAGATTACAGGTATGAATGATGGAATACAGAAGCCAATCTTAAAAAATGCATGGACGCCTGTTCTTTCCCATGTCTGATAGATGCATGCCATAACATGCGGTCACAACTAGAATATTGTAGGGTTGTTTTAAGAACTGTAAATGTATACAAACTCAGTGGTTTAACAATATATTGCTTCTGTTCTGTTATTTAAGGATGCCAAGCTTAACTTAGAATCACCAATCTTGTGCTTTATATCTGTCTTCAACAACGACGAAATTCGACATTCCCTTCCGAGAGTGCAGCTATAAGCCCTTACCACTTTTTCTATTTACTCCTGCCACAGCGGGGCAATGGGATTTTATATTCTTCTTAGAGCAGTTGACAGATTCGCTGCCAACTACAATAGGTTTCCTGGGCAATTTGATGGGTAAGAAACCGTGATAGCGAAAGGTTATTTAATTCTGAAACATCGAATATTCTTGGATATTAACAGTGTGTCTGTTGTGAAGGGGAATGGACGAGGACATATCTCGGTTGAAAACTACTGCCGTGAGTCTTGTAAGCGACATGGGTTGTAACGGCTCTATACTTCCGGAAGACCTTATAAACGAGATGTGCCGATTTGGTGCCGCAGAGCTTCATGCTGTAGCTGCCTTCATTGGAGGCATTGCTTCTCAAGAAGTCATCAAGGTTTGTTCTTTATCTCTTTCCAGTTTGAACCCAAGCTTCATTCATAGCCCTAGATTGCTATTTTCTGAATACGCCTGCATCTGCAATTTGATGGGTCATTTAAAAAAACAAAAAAAAAAAAAGATTTTCACATCACAGGTGGGTTTACAAAATCTTGTGCCATGGTTTCATGTCAGAACCAGGAACTAAACCAGTCTGATGTTTCTATTACACGCAGCTAGTGACGAAGCAGTTTGTGCCAATGTCGGGGACTTATATCTTCAACGGGATCGATCACAAGTCTCAGTTGTTTACGTTATAGGCCCCATTTTCTCCATAATAGGCTACCCAAAAAAAAATCAAAGGAGAGGAGAATATGTATATTTATTTGCCAGTTTGATTCTATGGCTTCTGCCTTAACTGGGAAAAATATGAAATATGATGCGCAGTGTCGAAATGGCATTTTTTTGTCAGTGGTTTGATTATCTCAATATTTGAAAATTTCATTTATTTTGATACCAAGTTCAAAATTCATGTGTATTTATATACAAGTTTTTAAAAAACTAGTCGATTTTTCCATATTTATACATGTCTGGACATGTTGGAATACGTGAGCGTCTACCAGGATTGCGATTGCGTTTGGGTGAGCGTCTACCAGGATAGCGATTGCGTTTGGATGCGCGACGGGGGAGAAGGGCGCGTTGTTCTAGATCACTCGGTTTGTTCTGATACAACTCGGATCTAAATCGCTCCACGTGATGTCACGTTCCGGTAATGATATTCCCAAAAAAAATGGCAAAGCAAGTCTTATGGGCCACTTGCATTTCGTTTGGGTCTCTTTTATTGCCGAATTTCAGGAAAAATATCCTTAGAATAGTGTGAAATAATGTCCATATTACATCAGCCCGTCGGTCCAACCAGTCACCTTGCTGCCCAACTTCATCTCTTCTTGACTGATTCTTTTTTATCACTTTAATCATTATATTTCGAACATGTATACATACACATATACACACACACATATATCATATATATGTGTGTGGGTGTGTTAGGTAGTATCATTTTTGTTTCCCATTGAAAACATTTTAACATCAAGATTTGTAACACAATCCCCACAAAACATCAATGAAGATTAAGACTGCATGCATAATTAAAACAAAATGAACAAACTATATAAGCTCATAATAAGCTCTTCAGTTCAAAGAAATGCACATGTTCTTGGATGAATCAGAAAATTCCGGGCGTTACTGCATCGGAGGACGATGCCGGAGACGGATCAAGGCCGTTGCTTTGAATGTTTCCTATGAGGGTAATGCTTGTTGAGGTGAAATCTGAACCGTTGGATCGGTTTCTTGTTGTGTTGTACCAATCAGGCAACAGTACTGTGGATGAAGGGAAATTGTTGAGAAGGCTCATGAGCATGTCATCATCACCATCATCCATCATGGTTTTGTCCGATGTCGGTTCCTCGTACTTGTTCTTATTAGGGTTTGTTCCTGTGTATTGTGTGAATCAATCAAGATGAAAAGCTAAGATATATATATATATATATATGTATATCAACCCTGCAACTTCAAGTTTCTTGATGCAAGATTGCCTCCATGATCGATGTTTATTACTATGTCATAAATCCAATCACTTTCTTACATTTCCATAAGCTTTTCAATATGAAATCATGTATGAAATAGTATAGGATAAGATTTGAAACCAATATATGCATACCGATCGATGAATGATCAGAAGAGCTTATATGATTCTCGTCCTTGGACAATCCACCGCGAGACAAAGCTCGAGACTCTTCCAAAAGAGCGTAG